TTAGACTCGCCAGACTTGTGTGTGAGTGTAATTCATGCACTTGCCTACTTATTTCCACTCTGATTCATTCATAAAAATACATGTGCATTTTTCTGTTGGCATGCATGCGCATGTGTGTGCGGCACATGTGCGCTATGTGTGTTTGTGTGTGTGTTTGTTTGCATGCGCGCGTGTGACTGGCGCCCAACTTAACGGCCACCTTACCAGCCACAGCAGAATTCAAGAATTAAACCAACCAAAATATAAAAATAAAAAAAAAACAACTTTAAAAGCACGCCAACACGTCTTGAATTCATTTCGGATGCGGTTTCAAGTGGCCACTCGAGCCAGTCAAGTAAATACATGCATACATATGTATGCATATATGTATGCACATATAGGCATACGTATACCGTTAGGCAGCAACATAGAAAGGCGTCCACACACACGTGCGTATATCTATATATTTTAAAGATGAAAATAGCTTTTGTCGCTGTATTGGCCAGCATTATTGTTTAAACAAATTGCATTTTATTTCTTTGCCGCCTTTTTATGACTAAACATGTCGGCCCTCGCAGCACTCTTTGCTCTATCATTTCCCCGCTGCTCAACACTTCCATTCTTGCGCCAACGTCACCCAGTTGAAGCTGATGGCAGCGGGCGGCTGGCCGCGGTCGGCGGGCGGCGGGCATGCGGATTGTGTGGGAATTAGTCAGAAACCTGCTGGCCGCAGCCGCAGCGGCTGAAGCTTAAATTTTTATTTTAGTCGCTTTTTTGTTTTTTGTCTGTGCTCATGCCGATATCACTTGTTTTGGCAACAGCCAATGGGGTATACCCGCACGCAGGCAAATTTTTTGAAAATTAAAAAGTTCGGTTATTTTGATTTATTTTGGGAACTGTCAGGCTTACAAACCTTAGTGAGTTTTTGGGTCTGTTCCAGAGCTTTTTCTGATGTGCCTAAAATCAAATTTCTGTTAAAATTTTAAATAAAAGTAGACAAAACGAATGCTAAATTTCCTTTAAATTGTTTACGCAATGTTTTTGTGCTCCATCAACTGTATATACATATAACTATGCAAACACAGACATATTTCGACTAATGATATCTTGTTGTAGGGTATCTCACAGTTCATACAGTTTATTGGCAATTACGTTTTATTTGTTTTCATTTTGAAAAAAAAAAAATAAATGTAAATGAATAATGCATTCGCGTTGCGGTGACATTTTGCATATCAGGTTGTTCAATTTGCAACTCTGCATTTAGTTGTATTTCTTGATTCAATTATTTTCAAAATATATGTTTTTTGGCAGGAATATTTATAGCTAAAGGAAACCCGAAACCCATTTAATTTATTAAGATAACTCTATCTCCATTTCTATCTAATATATAGAAATATATGTTTAACTTCTTTAAACCATGGAAAAATAGAATTAAGTTATTAAAAGGCAGCCAAGTTAAAAGGCGCGTCATGCGCATATTAAGTATTTTAACCTAATTAAAAAAAAAAAAAACAACAAACAAGCAAACTAACTAACGGAGGACTGGCTTCAGGAAGCGGGATGATGAGCTAAATCGACGTCAACTGATGTACGTAACTCTCACGTTGGTTCGCCACGCCCACGTGCCACGTGAGCAGACACACATATTAGCATTATATCATTATAACCATCAACCCACATACACCCCCCCCCCCACCACCACCCCTTCCACCGTGTTTGGCTGCCAAGCCCAAAACTCGTCAGGTTCTTTTACCTGTAACTGACATTTGAGATTTTCACGTTTTTTCTGTTCTGTATGGCAACGCCAGGATATTTATGTAAGTGTTGGAAATTACTTGAACCAAGGAAAAAACAGAAAACAGAAAGCTGATGCTTTGCTGCTATTGATGGAACAGATTTGGATACGTAAAAGAGTCATTTCTAAAGCGCAACATATGCATATACATACATCTGCAGCCACTTATTCATGTGTGTGTGTGTGTGTGTGTGTGTGTGCGTGTAAAAGCTCGGCACGAGTGAACATTGATAGCACATGGAAGGCAGATGCATAGGCAAAGGGACAGACAGGCACGATTGCAGCGGTCGCTTTATCGTCAATCAACAGAGCAGAGCAAAAGCACGCGCTGCCTTAGTTCTATTTGAATACAATCATGTTTTATCGTTTCCAGAGCAGATGAAGAGAAGTTCTAGACAGAGAGGGAGAGAGCGAGAGAGAAACTGTGCGTGTGTGTGTATGCATTTAATCATTGCAATGGGGGCGGCACTGTGCTCAATGAACAACGCATAAAAAACAACTTGGACTTAACCAAAAAAAAAAAAATAAAAACAAAACAACAGAATGTAAAATTGCGCTGCAACACAAATTGCCTGCAACCCAAATGGGCATAAAAACAATTGTAGCACAGACTTATAAGAAACAAGCTAAAACAACAGCGAAAGCAATTAGGAAATGAGCCACACAGGTCCCACACTTATCTCGCTGTCTCTTTTCCCCCTGCGACACACACAGGTTTCAACGTCAGCGCGTTGACTGAGATAGAAAAGCTTTCGCCATAAAACGCAAAGAAATAACAACAACAAAATTGATCATCAAAATGAGGCCAAAATATTGTAACGGTGTTACGACAACGACAACGACAACGACAACGGCACAGACAACAACAAAGCAAATACCCAGCGTAGATACAAACGACGAAAATACACACAAACAACTGAAAAACGCTTGAAAAGTGCAATTCATCAAAAGCAAACTCCTAAATACCGGCACATATTGAAATTGTATGACACACATACACGTATGAATGCATAACACACAAATACATACATATGTGTGTATGCTTGGACTTATGCTTGTTCATATCTATGCATGTATGCTCGTACATGCATAATACCTCTAAATGTGCTGAATTGCAAGTGTTGCCAGAAGTCGAAACTGTAAACAACATTTTGAAAGTGATTGAAAACAAGCGACAGCACGGGGGGGGGGGCTAAAGGGGGAAGGGAATCCGCCTGAGCGCAACACGCTGCTATTGTTTTTTTTTTTTTTTTTGGTATTGCTGCTTACTTTACATAACGGTTTTTTTTTGCAACGGACACTGGGATAAAAACTGAAGGCAATTATGATATATGTACGTGTATGTGTATGTATGTATGTAGGTATGTTTACATATTTATTTGTTTTCACGATGCCGTTATTACTTTTCGGTTAAACAATTACAAATTGTTGTTGTTCCCCTCTCCCCTCTCGCCGCTCCAACACCCAATCACCACACAAACACACTCACCTACATATATGTATGTAGTATATTAATGGACGTGGCTCATTTCTCAAGTGTAAATCATTTTTAACATATTTTCGCGGCTTTTGAAGAAGGTCAAAAGCTTCGTAGAGCAGCTTCAAAGGCAAATAAAATTTAAAAAATAATTAAACAATACACCCACACACATGCAGCTGAAATAAAAAACTAACAAAACAAAAGTCAACTACATGTGTATGTATGTATGTATGTACTTATGAACAAACAGACAAGGCACACTCAAAAGGCTGAACAACTTCTAAACAAATTATGCATATACATACATATGCATGTATAGACATATACAGTTGTGCATATATTTGCTCGTCGTGCTGTATTTGAAGCATGAACATAAATAAATAAACAGAATTATAGCAAAACGCACGCGAGGCGTATAAATGTGAGCATGGGTGTATGGTTCATATATGTATGTATATGTACATACACCCATGCAAGGTGGTAACGCTGCGCACAGAGAAAGATAGGGCGAGAGCGAGAGAGCAAGAGCAGACGTTGCGGAGTTGAATTGGAAGATACAAGGTTACAACAACAAGACAACAAAGCAGCTGATGTGGTAGGAAATGGGCATGAAAGCTAAAGAAACGCAGAGAATTTTCTCCAATTGGAATTTGAGTGGCTGCTGGCACTTGTTGTTGTTGTTGTTGTTGTTCTTTGATAATAAACAGCAATGAATGCGGGCAAATCATAAAAAATGCAACTGATGTTAAGAGGGCAAAAACAGAGGAAAGTTATAAAAATGACAACATGAGCAAAAGCGAGGCATAGCATAGAAAGTTTTCTTGTTACTGTTTGATGACGTTTTCTGCATATGTATATGAAATATGTATGAGAGCGCGTATACATAAAGTATGTATACACACTATGTAAGTGTACATAGTAAACACACCTGCTACAGCACTCACCGTTATTGCTTCTTCTTTTTCTTCTTCTTATTGGTATTCTGAGCGAAGATGGCGAAATTTGCAGCAAAGACGACGAGCGAAGCGACGTCGTCGTTTCAATCAAACGTGCATCCAACTGCCATGGAAGAGTTGTGAGTGGCTGGACGATGACGATGACGACGGCGACGACGACGTGTTTTATTTAATTTCACTTCAAATTTTGACGAGACCGACTTTTTTTTTGCTGTAAACGTCACTTCTTCGGTTTGCCCGCAGACACAAAAACACACACACATACATGCATACACACTATTCGTTTTCTAGTTGGAATTAGTTTTCAATCGCTCAGCGGCAATAGCTTTTTATTGAATGCACTATCGCGTGTATCGTAACGTTTGGAGCTACGGAGAAAAAATACAAAACAAAAAACAATATCATTCGCAATCTTCAATTTAAATTTCTTTGGCGTTTGGGTTTTCAATGTTTGCTGAATTTATAAACTGAGCTTCCAGTGTGACTGCACTCCGCTAGCAGTGTGACCACGCAAAATAAACAAGAAAATGCCAAACAAATATACAATATACAGACCGCTAACAGAGCAGAAGTAAACTTAACATTTAACTAACAGAGACTCCTCCTTTTAACAGCATATCATCAGAATACTTTCTGTGCGGTAATCGATGCAATTAAGAAACGCCTAATAAACATGTGCGATTTATAAGCAAAATAATAATCTGTAATTGAAAATATAATACCTCCATCAATCTATTGGCTGGTAACAGTGTCTATTAAGGGTGGCTGATTCTCCATCCATAGGTATCGGAAATCGTTGCGAGGCTTGCTATCGGTCTCGATAAGTAAATCGCATTTGCTGTTTATCCTCCGATGAGTTTTAATTTGTCGTAAACTAAAAGATATTTAGTTATTCCAGAAGTTTGTAGCTTATAACAACAAAATGCCAGAAACTGAACACTTGCCAGAAGGCTGGGAAAAACGCACCAGCCGCTCAACCGGTAAGGAAAATTATCCATGTGCAGGGAAAAATTTTGCAACCGGCAATTTTTAAAAGCACATTTATTTATTTATGTATGCTTCAGGTATGAGCTACTATCTCAACGTGCACACAAAGGAGTCCCAGTGGGACCAGCCCACTGAGCCGGCAAAGAAGGCCGGAGGTAATGCCTCCTCGTCGGATGGGCCCAATGAGGTGCAATGCCTCCACTTGCTGGTCAAACACAAGGGCAGCCGCCGACCGAGCTCGTGGCGCGAGGAGAACATCACACGCACCAAGGAGGAGGCTCAAATGCTGCTCGAGATCTATCGCAACAAAATTGTGAACAGCGAGGCCACATTCGAGGAACTGGCGCGCTCCTATTCAGACTGCAGTTCGGCCAAACGTGGCGGTGACTTGGGCAAATTCGGACGCGGTAAGTTGCGACCCAACTCCCACAACCCAAATCAACGCCCTGTTAACCACAATTCCATGCCTTAATTAGGTCAAATGCAAGCGCCCTTTGAGAAGGCCGCCTTCGCTCTGAAGGTGGGACAGCTATCGGACATTGTGGACACCGACTCGGGCCTGCACATCATTCTGCGCAAATCATAAACCTAGACGGATGAAAAGATATAGGCAACTGCATTAACTCATTAGAAATAAAACAAAATTAAAAAAGGCGCTTGAATTTAAGATTCTGTGTTTATTATCTCCCAGCATGATGCATTTAAATGTTACAAAATGTTTAAGCCGCAGCAGAAGGCGGCTCTGTCTTAATATACTGATTATATTCTGCCTGATCTCTGGGAATTAAAAAGTAAATTCTCTTTCGAAATAATGTAAATGTCGCCTTTCTATGCGAATTTCATAAAATCAAGTAACGCTTAATCTAATCTTCCTTTCGGTAGGCACCAAAAAATATGTGTCTTCGCCTTTCTATGCGATTTTCAAATAGAATATTAAGGTTTACATATTTTAATACCTATCAAATTAATATTTAAGATTCCCCCTTTTGATAAATCTCCACCGCAATCAAAAATATGTAACTTCAAACTGATGAAAAACTTGTTGTCTTCGAAAGATATGTTGCACATGCTCTTTACCTGTTTTCCTACTTCAATAATATGTAGCTTCCTCCCAAAGAATATCCAAACTTGAGAAATTTAAAGAAATTAAAGCAAATTTAAAAAGGGAGTATAAATATACTCTATTTAAATATAGTATCGTTATTTTCAAGCGCATTTACTAAAACTAATCAATAGATGACTAAAAACTAGAAGTTATTAGCATGTTTCTATTTCTTCAGTTTGCTGGCCAACATCTTGGCACCCGACGACTTTTCGCTGAGCAGCACTTCGCCCAGTTCGTGCTCCTCGATAAGCGCACGGCAGCTGTTCAGCTGGGCTGGCGAATCCTCCACCAGCTTGACGAGCACATAGCATGCCCGATTGATGCCCAGCCAGGATTTAAGCTGCGAGAAAAACAATTAAATAGCTTGTCAAATTGTTGATTGTTAGCCAATTACCACATCGCTGGACAAATGCTGCAGCAGCTGAGTGCCAAATGGAGCTGCTTCGTGTTTCTGGTCATTTTTAATAATCTTTTTGAGCACATGATGCATGCCGGCATCCTCAATGCCAACGACAGTGGGCAACTCCAACGCAGCTTTGGCTTCGTCCTCTTTTGGTTTTTTCGCTGGTGTGGTGCCCTCCTCCGAATCGCTCTCTTCGTCGCTGCTGACGGGCGGTGGTGCGCCGGCATTTATCTGATTCTTATTCTTACGCTCCTTTGTGGCCTCGGCTATGTAGGCCTCCACATCATGCGGTTTCTTCTTGTTCTGTGCAGCACCTTCAGTTGGCAATGTGGAGACGCGCCAGTCGGCAGCTGTGACCACCGGAGCCAACGCTGTGACGGCTTTAATATACTTTTCACCAGTTACTACAATACAAAAGGGTAATGAAAGTGTATTCAGGCGGTCGGCACAAGCTGCTGTACAACTCACTGTGGTTAAGTATGTCAGCTGTGACCAGTCCGATGTGACTGTTGGAAAGCCAAAATGCGGGATCCTCAGCAATGGTCTGGGCAATGGGTGCCTCGATCTGTTCCAAAATCTCCTGACGACGTGCCTGTTTCTCCTTTTTGCCATAGGCCAAGCCCTGTTCGATGGTCTTAATGAAGCCCGGATGAAAGCAAGTTGTATCACCGGGTGCGACCAGCCACTGGACGACACGACGTCCATACTGATTGGCCACTAGAGTCTTTAGATCCCCGTGCAAATGATCATAGATGGCCTTTTTGGTGGCCTTTGTGTCGTCGAGGGCATTCAACAGCGCTATGAGAAAGACATGACCATGCTCGTGTATGGCAATCTTCAGCAGATGCTCCTTGATGTTCTTAATAATGGCCTAAGGATGTGCAAAAGGAGTTAATGAATGCTGGGACTAATGGACACCATAATAGAATTGAAGGTAAATTGTGAAACTCTTGGCTTACTCTGCGATTTTTCGGTGTTGACCTGTAGAAACATATAATGGCCGCCTCGGTGCCATCCTTGGTGGTCAGCATGTGCGGTATCAATGGAGCCAGGGCGGTGACCGTTTCCTCCAGCTTCTCTTCGTCGGTGGCCTGCATAAACTCGAGTATGACGGCATGCACCAGAGAATTGTCAACCAGATTTTTATTGGCAATATGATCCAGATTGGCCTTGACGGCGCCCATTATGGAGGCCTTCATGTTGGCAGCATCCTTGTATGTGTCGCTCAGGGTGTGCACATCATCGTCCTTGGATTTCTTGTACAGATCGCTGTAGAACTCCTGGCGCATGTAGCGCCGCTGCTTTTCGGTACCATTCAAATAGATGTGATCCAATATTTTGCTGGCAATGTTGTGACCCGACAGCCGCACCACATTACCCAACAGAGCATCAACCAGCTTGCCTTTGGTGGCCGGTGAGCCATACTTGAGCATGCGCTGAACACAAAAGTGCGCATATTTCGACTGGCACATCTCCACGGCGTGCGCCATCAGTTTGTCGGAGAGCTCGGCGCGCAGTGCGGGTGTCGCATGCTTCAGCATGCATTGTAGTACGCGTGCGGTGTCGTGTGCCTTGGCCACCTTGGAGATGGTGTCGCCCACGTTGAGAATTTTGTACATTTGCTCCACCAGTTTATCCTTGTTTTGGGTGCGACGACTGCAGAGGGTCATGCATTGGATATATATATAAATATTTAATAAATGGTACACCTTTTGAGCCACTGAGGACTTACCATTTAACCTGTTCGTAGATTTTCTTGACCTCCTGTGTGACTTCGTAGGTGTCGCGGTTGCTTTTGCGTTTTAGCTTAAGCTCCTTCTTCTCCTGCTTGAACTTAGTCCAGTCCTGCTTTTCGCTGACTTCGTTTTGGCCAGCCTGCGGCTTACCACCAGCTGCAAACTTATTATTTTTGCCCTCGTAGCCGCGTTTTCCAGCGGTTTTGAATTTATTCACGGGTTTACCCTTTGCGCCAACATTATTTTTGGTTGGCGGCTTTTTAGTTGTTGGCTTATTTTCGCTTTTGGCTGCAGCCGTTGGCTTCGGTTTATCTGAGTTAAGCATATTTACAATTTGTAAGACAAAGCAAAAACTGTAAAATGTTGTGTTTGTATTCGTTCGCTCAACGACAACACGTGCCAAATGATTGTTACCGCGAATTGATGAGCAATCTATCGATATCGTTATCGGTCACAAAAATAAGTGCTGTGTAGCGGAACAGAAAAATGCCCAACATTGTGTACATTGCACAAGAAGTTGCATACTGATGATAACAGACGTTGTTAACTATCGATAGCATTATTGAATTTATACAACAACAAAAAAACTGTACATTATATTTTTGAAATATTTAACTGGAATATAGCAGCTCGTCGTCAGTACGATAGCACTGATCTATTTAAGCCTTATGGTAGTTGAATTTATTTGATATCTAGTTTTAAGCTATACTTTTGTACCTGATAATGACGCTCTAACGACAAGTGGACATATATGAGACCTGCATTTTCGTTGGCTCGCGTAAATCAAAACAAAAATAGAAAAAACAGTATACACAAAACGCAGTTAATTGTGAAGTGCATCATATCGTTATCGCCGACTATCGATAGCAGCATTACCGCTTATCTCACCCCTATTGTACAGTCGCCACAGTCGCGACGGTGGATATATAAATAATTGTTGTTTTATTTTTTTTTTCGCGGCAAAAACTAAAAGCATTCTTTTCAACGCTTCGGAAATTTGTGAAAATTTCAAATAATGGTTAAGCTTGGCAAAAAGAAATTGGCTGAACTCTCCGAGATAAGCAAAAAGAAATCTGCCGCATATTCCGACAGCGATGAAAATCCGAAAAACGGAGCCAGCAATTCGGGCGATGACGAGCATGGACCCAATAAGGACTCCGACGGTAAGCCGGAAATAAGTTCCAAAAAGCAAAGGGCCTCCACAGCCGCAACAAAATCAAACGCACATGACGACAGCAACACGGATGAAAGCGATGATATGCCACTAAATGGCAGTAAGGGATCTGGTCCGAGTGCACCACCGCGTAAAAAGCAACGGAAGACGCCCAAACCCAAGGCCAGGGTGTCGACGACAGCTGCCGAAAAGAATCATAACAAAAAATCGTCATCCAAATCGGATGAGCCCGAGCTAGACGAGGACGATGACAATATAGATGCCGAATTCGAGGTACACAAAATATTAGCTGCACCCGGCTGACAAATTGCTTATTTAAACAAATTTCATTTGAATTGGATAACAGGTTGAGGCCATTGTGGGCCATAAGACCAAGCGCGGCGAATCGTATTTCCTAGTGCGCTGGAAGGGCTATGGCAAGGAATCCGACAGTTGGGAGCCCGAAGCCGAGTTAAACTGCGATGACCTGATCGAGGAGTATCGGAAGAAGGTGAGCCCAATTCGCCGCCTCCACTTAGCCATAGTACATCTATTTCGCTCTTTGATACCAATGCGATGTGCGCGATGTGTTGTCCCGTTCTAACTGCCTGGCAAATTGTATATATATATTCTTTAGGATGGTTCTAAGAAGAGCACTGCCATTGGAAAAAAGTCACCGGCCAGTGTCAAAGCGGGACGTGGACGCAAGACAAATAAGAAAGTGGAAAGCGATCCCGATAAGGAATGGGCAGTGGAACGCATACTCGATTTTGTTGATGATGATGAGCACGGCGGCCTGTATCGCATACGCTGGAAGGGCTTCGGTGCCAAAGAGGATACCTGGGAGCCCGAGTCCAATTTGTCCTGCGAGGGCCTCATTGAAAAGTTCAAAAAGGGACTGGATGAGCAGCGTAATGTCGATGTGAAACATTTACGCGAATCGCCGAAGAAGACGAAGCGCTTGGTCAACGAGACAATTCCACGTTCCAATTTACACAATCGCATTGAGCGCTCATCCAAACGGGCTGCTGCCAAGAATCGGTAAGACAACGAGCTCGACCCACTCTCACTCGCTCATTCTCTCTCTCTCTCTCTCTCTCTGACTCTCTTCATTCCCATCAAAATATTTCTCTCCCTCTTTGATTTATACCATGTTTTAATGCTAACTCGCTCGCACACACAGCGTTTTTTACGGCGAGGAGTGAAAAGTGCCCACCACGGACGACAAAACAAATATAAGGGCGAGATCGAATCCCGGAGTAGTAATCGAAATTGAATTACAATTTTAACACAATTAGCCTAAGTTGATAAAACGTGGAGTTGGTCAGCGTAGACGCACGTTCCTAGCTCTTAAGTGAATTGTTTAAGTACGAAAATCCAATACAATACAACACACAACACACACCACACACACACACACAACACACACACAACACACACACACACACCACAAGATACACCCACTTTAATTTGTAAGCTACAACAAAATCTGCAAAAAGTGGGAAGTGTTTTTGAAAAAGTATACATAGCAGTTAATTTCTATCTCAATCATTGCGTAATCCCTTCAACTGGGTTTACAATTCAAAGGAAACCCATCATTTACCTTAGGCCTTAAGTTTAAAATCCCTGAATTAAATTGTTTCGTGGTAGTAAAAATAATGCACATAGTTTCGTTTAAGATTCGAACAATATGACCAGCATTGACTGTCATGAGTATGATTATATAAATATAAATGTAAACCATATTAGAATAGCCTTTTATTATGCAAATGAAATGAGTGTGTGCATTAGGAGCATATGATTACCAATTGATAACAAAAGCGCAATCACGAAGATAATTGTGCCCGAGAGACGAACGAACAGTAAAATGATATGCATGCTTGCGATTAGCTTACCTTGCTGCGAATTTGACAATTTTCCGTGATTCTTTGGTCTTGAATAAAAGGTTTACTTATCTAAGCTGTTAAGTAAACTATGATCGAGTTATTTGTACATACATGGTTATCATAAATGTAATATTTAAATTGCTAGGCATTTTTCTCACTCGTGTTTAATCCACGCACAAAATTGTTAATACACAAAAGTTTGCTTTCTCGGGATCCTGTCCCTTAAACTGCAAATCTGACAGTAAATATTGGAAAATTATCGATACAAATGGCAACTGTACCTGTGAGCTTATTAGTAAATCTCTCAAGGATGCTGCTACCTTGACATATATATCAGGTTTCGATAGCAAACCTAGAACCTAGTTCAAAAATATACCCTTCACTTCGCTTTAACGAAACTGTTTAAAGTCCCGCTAAGTGTGCTTTTTAGAATAGTTTTTGATTTACAACACAATTATTAGCTTTAAAGTAGGTAAGGACTCATAGGTGAAACTGCTTGGACCTCGGCAAAGCTGCCTGGATATGATAAACGAGAGACAAAGTCTCCAAGAGTAGTCTCCCGTTTTCAGGGAATATTTAAAAACTGTGCTAAGAGAGAACAAGTATTTTGGTTTGTATGAATGTGAGTTGTTTTTTTTGGTCATGCTTAACAAGTGACGGGAACATTGCAGAGATCTCTTCACCCACAGCTTTAGGGGTTGCAGGCTCCAAATAAAGATATCCCAAGATTGCTAAAGTCGATTCTCAGTTCTTATTCCAGATAAAAAAGATACTACTTAGCATATTGTGTTTTTATACCCTTCTGTAACGTATCTGAAACACAGTTTTCCAGATATATTCCCCGCATTTACCCTAGCAAAATTTAATTGACATCCAATATTCTATATGATATGTCAATAGATTATTACAGGCACCATCAGACTCAGTCCAATGCAAATTAAACATAGCTTATGTACAGACATCGTAAATCGATTTTAATTATAACATCCATTTGGGTTTATTGCATTTAAATTGGCATTCGACAAGCTGTATCTGTGTCCGCGTGTCTGCTTGCGTGTGTATGTGTTTGTGTGTTGCACAAAAGGGGGAGAGAATTGTATGTGTACAGTTGCAGCTAAGCTAGGGTTCAATTGTGTTTAGAGGCCCGCTTGCAGACCGAATCCGGGACCCTTTGGCTCCTCGCTCAGTGAGGTGGGGTTGCCTTTGGGTTCGCTGGCGAAGCGTCCGTTGCGCGGTCCCGGCGGTGAGATCTTATCCGCTTTAAGATCACCCAAAATTGACTGCATATCCGCACTGGTCAGATCCTCCTACGGCATTCAACGTGGCATAAGTTAAACATAATCATAACAAAACAGTCCATACTCACATAGTAGTCATCATTGATGGACACCATCGGCGCATTGACGCAGGCGCCCAGACACTCCACCTCGGAGATGGTAAACTTGTTATCCTTTGTGGTCTCGCCAACGCCGATGCCCAGCTGCTTCTTGCACGTATCCAGGATCTCGTCGGAGCCGCGCAGCCAGCAGGGTGTTGTTGTGCACACCTGAATATGATATTTGCCCGTTGGCTTGCGCATAAACATTGTGTAGAATGTGGCCACCTCGTAGACGCGCATATTGGGTAGGCCGAGAATTTCGGCCACCTTGTGCATGGCCGAAATGGGCAACCAGCCGTACTGACGCTGTGCCAGATCGAGCAGCGGTATCATGGCACCACGCTTGTGACCCTCTGGATAGATGCTCAGTATGGCGTCCACACGCTTCTTGTTCTCCGCGCTAAACTCGAAGGGTATGCTCGGATTATCCTCGGGCGTGTCGCGATGCACGAATAGATTGTCGCTGCGCTGTGCACTGCTGGTGGCAATGGCACGCAGGCTGCCCCGCTGCAAAAGCATGCATTTTGTGATTGTTATTGTTTTTTTTTTCTTTTTAAGTGCAAAAAATTACATAACTTGCCACTGGCAACGGGCCTTTGTTTGCCAGCCGCTGCCATTTTGTGGCCGCCAAATTACTTACCACAGTAGCCAGCGTTCTTGCGGCACAATTCGAAAGCATTTTATGCGCTTTCAATCAAAATAACCAGAAAAAAAGTTCAGTTTAATTGGAAGTGTCGGTGCCAGTGGCAGAGCCCCAAGCGATTTCGATTGCCTCGATTTCAAATCAGCTGGCGTTGCCAGCTCAGCTATCAGCTATCGATATATCGATTGCACAATCTGCTATAGTTGTTTTTGATAGCAAATACCAAATCTATCGCTTCAATATCGACATATATTTGGCGCAATATTCGAATGTCAATTAATCACTGTTAATTATAAATTTTACATATGATCTTTGTTTAATCGTGCACTATCCGTCTAGCTGCCTGTGTGCGTGTGTGTAAGCGTATTTAAAACCAATTAATTAATTAATTAATTTTGGCACGAAACGTGTGGAGAGTTTAGAAATGATCAAACACCTTCTATATGCTTGCAAAAGTATTTATTATTCAAAATCGTTCATCGATAATAGACACCACAAATTTTAACTGTTTTTAAATGTTACAATTGAATTATGAATTGTTTAGTAAATGCATATTGTTTAAGAGGTAAAAGGCATATTATCACGCATCCTTCTCATAATTTTCAGTTTTCATATCATTTAGACCCAGCTCTTCGTTGTCTTCATAGCTGCGCTCGTATCTTTCCACGGTCAGTTTGTCGTCTGGCTCATCGTTATCAGTGAGCGACTGGACATAAGTATTGCCAGCCGGATCCTCCAGCACCAGGGTGATCACCTGCTGCAATTTGAGCACATTATCAAATGTGTCCAGAAAGCGTTCCAGCTGTCGCTTCGACGGCTCATCGGCAGAGTCGTGAAACAATGTGCCGTCCAGTTGCTCGCGCATTGCCACCAGCAAGCCCTCGATGGTCGTAAAACGGCCGCAGAGCGCATTGGGACCCACATCCATATCCAGTTCCGGTATGGACAAGCTGCACGTTTCCGATTTGAGAACATCGCGCGTCAGATCCTCTTTAGAGGCAACGCGCACTTTGAATCGCACACCCTCTGGTTCAATGCCGCCGCCAGACTTCACCTCGTTCGTTTTGTGACCGCACCTGGAGCAGACGGTAGCCATGATGACCACTTCCTTGAAATGCGGTATATTTGTCAGCTTCATGTTTGTCTCGCACGGCACCTGACAGTTCGGACAATTCGTGGCAAACTGCAGTACCTCGCCGTGCAGATTCTCAATGTTCCACTCGCCCTCGGCCATGGGCTTTAGCAGATTCTGCTCCTCGTGGTTCTGATCATAGAGACCTGCGTGGCACACGGCAAATGTTAGACATGGCCAAGAGGGCTAAGAAAACAAAACTCACCAAGTTGTTCGTTTTGCGCTTGGGTGCGCGTAAAGTGACCCATTTTCAACTGTGGATCGCTGGCGGGTGCTAATGGATTCTCAATGAAGCTATTGCCGGAGATGTCCTCGAGCAGCAGACGAAAGGGTTTGTTCAGCAACTTCAACTGGCGCAAACGGTCGATGAAGGCATCGATCGATGCTGCCTCTGTGGGATGGTCAATGCGGCGTTTCTCCTGATCCTGCGACAGGCCAGTTATCGTACGCTCAATGATGCCCTCCACAGTGGTGACCTCGCCCTTCTGCGACTGCACGGGTATCTCTAGCTCCACCTCTGGTATGCTGATGCTGGAATTGTCGGAGCGGACAACACGTCGATTCAGATCCGATGGCTTCTGCACGTCCAGCTCGATGCGTACACCGTTCTTTTGTATCTCCGACGCCGATTGCATTTCATTATTCATGTGGCCGCAGTGCTCACACTTGAAGGACATCAGCACAACCTCACGAAAGAAGGGTATCTTGGTGGGCAGCAGACGGGTTATTCCCGTTTTGAAGCAGCGCATACAGGCGGACTCAATCTCGACCAAATCCCCTGCCTGCTCGGCGTTGATCTCCTGAAAGATGGGCTCTTGCTGTGCTGTGACAGCGGCACTAGCGACACCGGCAGAAGCGGTCGCATCGGCACTCTCGGCCGCAACAGTTGTGCCTGCCCCACTGGACATGTTTTGACTTCAATTCTCGAAAATAAAAAACAAATAAACTTTTGCCGCAAGCAACGTGCATTCAATGCACTCGATTGTTCTGTTGGTTTCGTTAGTGTTGGACAGCGCTGTGTAATTATAATGAGCAACGTTTACGTATCTGTTACTTGTCACAAGTTACTCACAGTTACAAAATATTTTTGTAACATATCTAAGTAATTGGCTGAAAAGAAGAATAACGAGCTCTGATTATGTGTTGCAAAATAGTTTAATTTTTACAAATAAGAATTGACATTTATATATATATATATACATATATACAGGTACATATGTTCAGGTGTACTTGACAAAGACACTTGCAGTTTTACTTTGGCAAGTTCGTACGCATAAAATATTACGCGCTCGGGTAAACAATTTACTAAATCGTCATTCGCGGCCTACAAGCGTTTTTTAAATGCCTTTTATCAATTATCTTATTTCTGCTTTTTTCCCGACTGTACGATTTGATTTACTAACATATGTGATTTGGCATTTATTTATATTCTTGCTTCGGGTATCCGCTAAATTCGAATTGCAAATTACCAAAGATGCCAAAATTATCGTTCGACCTATCGGTTAACCATTTTCATCGATGCGATGTGATATATATCATCACTAACCGCGAGAACCAGCAGCAGCGGCGGCCAGCAGTGCTGTGTGTGTGTGTGTGCGTGTGTGCGCGACGAAAAAGTATAAATCGTAACGAGCAGAAGAAAAAAAACGTGTGAAAATTTATAGAAAGGTATCGCAATAAAAATAATTAACAAAATGTCAATCTTGTTGCTTAACGGCATACGACGCGAAGACTTTTGAAGGACTTTCTGTGCATGCGTGCGTGCTGTGTGTGTGTGTGTTTCGTTCGACCAACAGCACCTGGGCGGTGGAGTGGAAATTTTGCGTTCAAGGACAACAGAACGACACTGCCCACTGCTGCAAGTGTGTACTGTGTGATGCCCCCTACCCACTTTCTCTGTCCACTATTAGAACTCTCGATATGCTCCTCCTCGGCACGTTTAGACACTCGCTCAATTGCCCAGGCTCGCGAACAATATGCAAACATACATACAGAGTATATATGTAGCCCAAAAGTACCGACTTTTAAAAGAGCGGGCGCGTTTTTTTCCATTCAGTTGTTTAGCTGCAAAACATAGTTTATGTGCAGTTAGAATTTAAACACGGACATCATTAATGTCCAGTCAGCATACGAAGATATAGTGTAAAAGAGCCAATTTTAAAATAGAATTTTTCACATATTTTTAAAGAAATTCAATTTTCAACGAAGTCTACGTATGTGTGTGTGTGTGTGTGTGTGGGGTTGCCAATGTTTTTTTTTTTTCGCCCCGAGCGAGCATGCGCATACCAACACATGTGCGAGACGCTCTCCCGCTCTCTCACACCCGCAAAACACATGGGTTGCGGTACGCGCGGTGGCTGCACTGAAAATAACTGTCGCATTTGAGAGCGACAGAGTCGCACAGCGAGAACAAACGTTTGAAACGTACGTAAAAAAACGAATGAAATGCAAAAAAAAAATATAAAAAAAAAAACAACAGCTGCGCAGATTCAACAAAGTCGTTAGGATAGTGAGGGTCGGGGGAGTGCATATCTTTTTGATGCCCATTTCCAACTGCACGGAGCGCATAGTCGCGTAGTCGACAGTCGCGCACAGATTCTCGTAAACAAAACGCTCAAAATTTGCGTACCACGTGTGTAGTCCGTATGCGCGCGTGTGTGTGTGCGTGTGTTTGTACCGGAGTCTATAAATGTACATACATACATACGTATTAACGTACATTATTGCAATTGTTTTGTGCAGCTGATTTATTGTTGTGGCTGGTTTATTACCGTTTCACTTATTTTTTGTTCCTGTATTTTGAGGGCTACTAATCAACATTTAAATTTGCGACACATCCGCTGCGGGCATTACTCAAAAATTCGTTTGAACCCGCGTGTGCTTCTATGTATGTGCATATAAATAAATATACATGTATATGTAACGACAAATAGATGAGCTTAAAATTTAATGTACATAGCTTTGTTGGGCGATACATATGTATAGTATATACATATGCAAATATGAGCGTTCGTTGCTCAAGGATTTTTGGCTTAGTGTCCTTGCTGCAAGCAATAAAAATAATGGTGTATAAAGGGCGAAAATCAAAGTTGAATTTATTGCAAACGCCATTGGCTCCACTACTACATATATACATATAAATATATACATATATGCATAAATACATATGTATATTGTGCTGCATAAATGTTAGCACAGGCGCCTGCGCCGATTGGGCAACTTGCAATTGCTACGAGTACATATGTATGCTTGTATTTGTGTATGCTAGATGTACACACATATCAATGGCACGTGCGTAAAGAATCGATTCGCGTCTATTCTAAAACTTGCACTAACTGCGATAGTTACTATCGTGATCGATTACATCTCTAACAAATGAAAGATCGCGCGTCGATCGGCGCATCCGTATCAAATTGCAAATTAAAACGAAAGGATGCAATAATGGCTTTGGTCGTTATCGATAGTTATAAAATATATTATTTATCTATTCGTTTAGCTATTCTCTTAATTGTTAATCAATCAATTGAACTTATAATAATTTTTGACGATCGGCATTAATTTTTCTTCGTTAAGCCAGTGTTGTAAATTTCACATTTTATTATAACCAAGGACGTTACAAACCAAGTGCACTTACTCACTCAGTAGAGAGATGGGGATTAATTTTCAACTACTTAACTACATTTACAAACCGTAATATACATACATTCAAACATAAACAAACAATAATTTCCTAGTTTCCCGTTTTATTGATAGATAACGGTGATCCAATGTAAAGACGTTTGAAATCAACAAGAAACTGTTAGATGTTCCTTAAAGTATGCAGCATAATGTGCTATGTGGCAACTTGGTGGCGTTGTGTGTTGCATAAGCGGCAGGAGCTTTAGCATTTAGCTGCTACTTCTTGCCACACACCACACACCACCCACACCCTCCTTTCGTATTGACTGTGTGAATCGCTGAGACAAACATTTCATCATTTACTTTAGTGCCAACAATTGACTATGTATGTTTCTCGTTCAGTTTTGTTCTCTCGTTCGAAACTCTCTGTAATAGGCGTGTCGTCGTTTGTTTGTTTTTGTTGTTTTTTTTTTTTTTTTCTATTTTTCCCCCCTTTTCTAAGTTGGTTCGCGTTTCGGGTAGTTAAGTACTTAGAGCTCGCAGGTCTCTTTAGGTAGCTTATTTATTAATGACTATGTTTGGTCATTACATTAACCATTAAGTTTACAGTTAAGTGTTATTGTATCATTATTTATTTCCTCTTGCTAAATTTGGTTAATTGACGCTACGCTTTCCATTGCCTTTCGATATATTTATTGTGCAGAACGACGCTGTTATCCTTCGCCTATTGTCGTCGTCGTCGTCGTCGTCGTCGTCGTTGTCGTCGTCGTTTTCGTCATCGTTTTTGTCGTGGTTAACGCAACACTACAACAACAAGTGCAACAACAGCAACACGCAGCTCATTGCTTTAACGGTAACTCTAACGGATCACGGCCAACAACAGAAACAGCAGCAAGGAGAGGAGTATAACAGAAATCAAGAGGCTTACAAAATGCAGACGCATAAAAAGTAAAAGGAGCAACAAAACGAGCAAAACGAGCAAAACAACAAAACTGTGCTTGTGTGTGTGCCTGCGTGTCTGTGGCTGTGTTGTGTGCGTGAGTACAGCAGCAAGCGAGCGCACACTCTTACACTCCCTCTCCCATTCTCTCGTTGCCGTCTACCTGCCTGTCTGTTGGCGTTTACTTACTTGTGTGTATGTATATGTCTGCGTGAGTGCAGCGGCAGAAGAAATTCAAATATCGACTCTCACACATACTCTTGCTTATGTGCAATTGGCATGGCTGCAAGGAGCAATAGCGAACAACATAACAACAATTAAGATATGCAGCTATAAGAGAAGATAAATAGTTAAGTAAGCGCAAAGGACTTGAAACCAAAAACAAAAACAAACAAACAACCAACAGATACAACTATACACGCCTAAGATTAAGAAAAGAGCAAACCGAAAGAGAGAGAGAGAGAGAGAGAGAGAGATAGCGAGAACGAGAACAAACGTTGCAAAGAAGGGAAAAAACTCGGCCCACCCCCTTACAATTCCAATTCCCATTGGAAAGGAATATCAATAGATCAAACAGTTAATTAAGAAGTTGCTGGCAACATGAGCACGCTGCTGGAGGAGCTTGGCCAAACACTGGTCCCAGCGACAATTGACGATCAGCAACAACAGCTGCAGCAGCAGCAGCAGCAGAGGACAACGCTGAGTACAACGCTGTGCGAGGAATCGAACTCATCGTCCGTGCTGGAGGACATCGATGTGAGCAATACGAGCAGCAGCAGCAGCACCACCAGCAGCAGCAGCAGCAGTGCCTGCAGCAACAGCAGCAGCTGCAGCAATGGCACTGGCACCGACACGGACACCGGCAAGGGCAGCAGCACAGTGGGCAGCATTGATGCGACACGCGTTAGTTCGTCTAGCATTGGATCGGCTGCATCGATTACATCATCGGTATCAACGACCGCACCATCAACGACCAATTCATCAGGACTCGGTTTGGTGGTCGATGTGGATAGTAATATTGGCAGCAGCCAGGAGCTGAGCCATGGCTACGATGCCAAAAGTGTTACGGAGCTCGATTCGCTGGAGGATACGTGCGGCTCCATGCTCAAGGATGCTGATAAGAACTGCAAGCTGTGCAGGTGAGTTCTGTGCCCCTAAATACGCATTTTAGATCATGTTGATAATATCGATAAATCTGTACTGATTTCTGCTACAAATATTTGCCAACACTGTGCGAGACTTTTAGACTTTTAACGAAACTCGAGGAATTTGGTACGGCTTAGAGATGGGCGCGTGCCTCAATAGTTGTTCATAGCCCAATCGAAACACGAATTATAATCAAAAAAGCCTACGACTACACGCACAATTCTTGTAAAAGATCGAAATATGTATTGAAAAATATATATTTGATTTTTGCCCGGCTCGCGCTCATCTGTTAAAAGTGATAATAGTTATAAAC